AGCCGTATTTATTAAGGCTGCCTTAGCATGGAAATCAGAACCAGATGTGGGGAAAAATTCACCCCCAGACCCCCCTCCTCTCCCCCCATCGCTGTAAGCTCCGAGTACAGTGGATCAGCCCATTTTTTTCCCCCTCACAACTCTGGAGTGCTCCAGCCTCCCACTTGGCAGACAGATGTGTGAATGCGCAGTAAAGCACGGGTCAGATAAAGCTCCGTATTTACCGGTAGTTGCCTTTCTTGCTGAGCTGGTCCTTGAAGTGGCCGAGGGTGAGGCAGTGGGTTTTCATCATGCTGCGATAAGGAATCTCCTCCCCGCAGAAGAAGTAGGTGACCACCAGCTCCTTAGACCTGAGCAGACAGGAAAAACGGCTTTTGAGTGGTGGAATCAGAGCCCTCCAACAGGTCAGAGTCTGCACTGGCCACAGCTGGACGACCAGGACTCTGAACTAAAGCACATCCATCCATCAATCCATTATCCTAACCCCTTATTCCCTAATGGGGTCAGGGGGGACTAGAGCCTATCCCAGTAGCCAATGGGGAGAGGCGGGGTCACCCTGGATGGTCCCCAGTCCATCACAGGGACACACAAGGACCAACAACCATCCACATTCACATTCACTCATAAGGGCAATTTGGAGTCCAGTCAACCTAACATGCAGGTTTTTGGACGGTGGGAGGAAGCCGGAGAACCCGGAGAGAACCCACAGACACAGGAGAACATGCAGACTTCACCCAGAAAGGTCCTGGTTCCCCCGGGACTTCAACCCAGAACCCTCTGGTCCTGGTTCCCCCGGGGACTCCAACCCAGAACCCTCTTGCTGTGAGGCAACTGTGCTAACCACCACACCACCGTGACGCCCAACTAAAGCCCATTTCACTCTAAATGTTCATTTTAAAGACTCTGCTTTGCAACAGAAAGTGAGAATATTTTGGTGGGAAAAGGGGGGCGACGCATGCGTGGAAACAAAGAAAGTTTTACACTTGGTCAAGAAAAATGGTGGGGAAAAAAAATCTCTCGATTTTTTTCCCCCCACCATTTTTCTTGCTAAAAAGGAGCTTTTTCTAGCTAAAAAGGAGCTTAAAGGAGCTAAAAAAAAAAATTTAAAAAGAGAGAGAGAGACAAAGAGCAGCCGTACTCGTCTGACGGGGCGCCGGGGTTCGGTTGTTGGCCGCCTCCGGAGGGGAAGGTGGCAGCCGGGTGGCTCCGGTCCCTCTGAAGGCAGCCGGCTGCTGCAGAGTGCCTGCGAAAGGCCAAAGACGCCGATTACAAACCAATCCCCGTTCAAGCGAGTGCTCACTCGTGCATCTCAAACGGAGGCCGACCTTTGCTTTGGCGGCTTGGAGACCTCCCCCAGGGGGGGGCAGGCCTCCTCCGGGGGGGCCGGCGTGTGGGGGGGGGGCAAGGGGGGCATGGCTGGGTCCTGGATGAAGGGGTGGCCCGGGTGGTGGCTGCGGAGGTGGGCCCCCCCGCCCAGGCCTCCTCCCCCCCAGGGGAAGCTGGGCCGAGCAGGCAGGGCTTTGGGGTCCAGCGGACTGGACTTCTTGAGGCCTTGAGAGCTGTTGGAGGACCAGAGGGAGGCGTTATTGCTGTCATAACTTCTACCATTATCATTCGCTGCCAAAGATGTCTATAGACGTCTTTTATGTTTTTCAACGAGAGTGGCTGGGGGATGATCGGCTAAAGTTTTTCCGTAAATATCGGCTTCCAGATAGAGTATGAACTAACAAATTTACCCTCTAGGTAGCTGTGCCACTTTTGATGGGAGATGAGCATAGATTATAGGCAAATAAAAAAAAAACGCAATGGTTCGCTATGTGAGACGCACGTCGAGGAAGAACGGAATAAGGTAGAAACTATTTTTTTTTCCTGATGAAAGAAGAGAGTCTATTCTTTCTTTTGGTGTGTTCGGTGTTTACATAGTCATAGCACAAACTATTCTGTGGCTCTTGAAAAATCTGTCAAAATGCTCAAAAAACTCTGGCAGTATGGGACTCTGTTCTGAAAATGGCTGGCAGTCAATTAGTTAATATCATTAATATCATTGCCATTTTTCATCCAGTCTGTGTGTTACTGTGTTGGCTGCCTCTCTCTGTTCCCTCTCTCTCTTGCCTTCTCTTGCCCTCTCTTTCCCTCACCCCCAACCGGCCGAGGCAGATGGCCGCCCACCCTGAGCCATGGTTCTGCTCGAGGTTTCTGCCTGTTAAAAGGAAGTTTTTCCTTGCCTGTGTCGCCTAGTGTTTGCTCATGGTGGGAATTGTTGGGTTTCTGTAGTTAACTTCAGAGTAGGGTGTGACCTGCTCTGTTTGGAAAGCGCTGTGAGATGACTGTTGTTTTGATGTGGCGCTATATAAATGAAATTGATTTGAATTTAATTGAATTTAGCCAAAGGGTCCGAACACCTGTGGAACCGGAGCCCAGAAGTGGAGGCCGAGGCGCCTACCTGTGCGGCTTGTGCTTCCCCTGCCTCTCGCTCTCCAGGATCCACTGCCAGACGTTCTGGGAGCGGTCGGTGGAGACCAGGGGGAGGCACGGCGAGGACACGCCCTCCTCGCAGGCCTTGGCGGGCCGTCGGGACAAAGTGCTGCAGCGGCTGGGGGGGGAAAGGGAGGCCGGTTAGGAAGAGGTTTCGGCGAGTCCTTTGTGGGTCCACCAGGATCTTTTTTCCCTGTTGCCATCAACTAGGGTTGTCAAAAGTATCAATACTCAAAAAGGTATTGATACTAAAATGTTGTATCCGGATACAAAACTCATTTTCTAAAGTACCAATACCAACCCCCCTTTCTCTCTGATTTATTTATTTAATCTTGCAAACACTGAATTAAACTCTATCCATAATATTATGTTAAAATAGTGGATGTTAAATAGGTTTCAAAGTCCAAACAAGTTTAATAAAAAAAACATTTTTTTTTCACAATTATAAAGGATGGATGGTCAGGGTCAGGGTTAAGGTTAGGGTTAGGGTCATTAATGAGGGCCACTGGCCACCATAACATCAGTAATAGGCAAGTTTGAAACGAAAGACACTAACCTGTGAAAATTCAGTTAAATTTTGGGGTCTTTGTTTTAATCCTTGTGGTATTGAATATGTTATCGAGTATGGAATATTTTCCTGAGTATCGGTATCGAGTTGAACATTTTAGTATCGTGACAACCCTTCCATCAACTATTGGATTGTTGAGTTCTGTTCTTGCAAATTAAATTTCCTCTCTGTGTGCACTCTGTGCATGCAAAATTACAGTAAAGTTGTCTAAGTCTAAGGGGGGCTGAGAAACTGAGCCGAGGCACTTACGCAGGTGTGAAGTCGGAATAGGTGGCGCCCCCTGGAGGGCAGAGGCACTGCACGCGCTGAGCCGCCTCCGACTCGATCTGCTCCTTGGACTTGGGCCCCGCGTGGTGGTGGTGGATGTAGTGGTGGTGGATGTGCTTAGTGGAGGGCCGGCCCGTCACCAGGAGCTTGGGGGGGGTGCGATAGGCACCGAAATATGGCCCGTGGCCGGAGGACGCCAGGGCGCCGGCGCGCTCGGGGGAGCGGGAACGCGGCGAGTGGCGAGCCACGCCGGGCGACTGGCACCCCGGCGTTTTCAGGACACGGGAGAGGTGCTCGTCCAGGATGGCCTGGGGGTCCTCCTCGCAGTGGCCAGCAGAAGGCAGGAGCGGGTGGTGGAGGGAGGAGCCGCCACTGAGGTCAGGACTCTCCTCTCTCTCATCCTCCTGCACAGCCAAAGACAATACCAGGAGTTAATTCAATTCAATTTTATTTATATAGCGCCACATCACAACAACAGTTGTCTCACAGCTTTCCAAACAGAGCAGGTCAGACCCTACTCTGAAGTTAATTACAGAAACCCAATAATTCCCACCATGAGCAAGCACTAGGCGACACAGGCAAGGAAAAACTTCCTTTTAACAGGCAGAAACCTCGAGCAGAACCATGGCGTTAAAGCAGCTAGCAAGCATCAGAAGGAGAGCCGGCAAAAGGAATTTCTGTCTCAGCTCACACCAGCTTATATCTATCCTCCTGTGAAGTGGGAGAGAGCAAACGGCGGGATAACTTGATGTGAGTTTCCTCTTTGCCACACTGTTATCTCCGCTAACAGGCTTTGGGTGTGCTTCATCTATAATGCAGAGAGAGCCTGAGCCGCACAAAGAGACTGGCACCGCACAGATTCAGCAAACGTGCCACTGGAGAGCAACTAAGTGCTATTTGAAGGAACTTAAAGTCTGTCTGGAAACATAAGTTTGAAAGTTCCCTCGCTGAATGAAACAGAGGAGGACGAGGAGGAGAAAGAGGCTCCCTGTTTTTGCTTAAACTTAAACTCAGATCTGGAATCTCTCCGGCTCTCAGTCCGGTTATTGTCGTCTAGCAGTGCCTTCACAACGCTTAAGACAATCCAGACTGTTTGCATGTGTCGTTCCAAGATGGTGGAACGACCTACCAAGCTACAAGAACAGCAGGTCCCTGTCTGTCTTCAGAAACTCTTGAAGACCCCCCTCTCCAAAGAGCATCTCCTATCCTAACCCTAACCCGTACCTCTACCCCCCACA